TTTGAATTGGAAATATATAATAAATTTAATTTCAATGTAAATCCAAAATTTTGTGTGTGGGTGTGTGGGTGCTAGAGACAGAGTTTCATTATATAGCTCTGACTAGCCTAGTCCTTACAGTGTAGACAGACTAATCTTAAACTCATTGAGATCCACCTGCCTCTGCCTTCTGAGTATTGGAATTAAAGGCATGTGACACCACATCTGATGAGTCAGTTTTTATATTTTAATATTTGGGGATTTTTCCCTCTAATGAAGCCTAGTCTAATAAAAAATACTGTTTATTGAAAGTTACTAGATTGTATTTTAGCACATCATGATGTCTCTTTTTGAAAATGATAATATGTGGTGGGTAAGATGGTGACTAGCTATTTTTAAGGGTGCTAGGCAACATTTTGGAGCATTTGTTTGAAGTTATGCATCTGGTTTTAGAACAACGTAACGGTTTTAGAAAACTAGTTTGTTCCATGTGGAATTGACTCCTGAAAGTGCACTTCTTGTCACTGGAAATAAATATTCTGAGGGGTTCTGGATGAAAATCAGTCAGGTATAGTGAAAGTGATTTCTTTATGGTTGATGACTGAACAGTTGCCTAATGTGCCTGACTTGACTGTGAGAATATTGTTCTAAGATAATCTAACCTTGTATTTAGTGATACTCCCTTTCTGACCATTGTCAGTAATGTATAACATTACTTTTGGTGATTGAAATACCTGTGAGGTTATTCAAGGGCAACTAAATTCAGATAATCATTCTGTTTATAATTAAATGATTAAACACATTAAATCAGGCAATTCTTTGCAATATTGATTGGCCTAGTGGGAAAGTGGATCTAAGAAATGGTATTTTTTCCCTTAGACTTGCTTGTAAAATATTGTAAACCTGACTTTTTTGGAAGCATAGTCTGTCATTGATTTTCTTAGGATTTACTTGATGATAGGGCAATTGTGAATTTTATTTGTATTATTAATAATAAGGCAGTTTTAGGGAAATGACTCATCTACCTATCTACACCTCACACACCTTAGCATTGTTTTTTGATTTTTTTAGATAGACCTCGACAGAGCGAAATGTATACTTCTTATCTATAGATCCGTCACTGTGATTTGTCACTGTTTTCACTTTTTCTTTTCACTCCCCACCACTCCTGTTTTGTTTTATTCAGTTGTAATCCCTACCACTGTGTGACTTTATTGATGGATTATGAGCTGAGAGTTGAAGACACTGTCTTAAAGAAACACATTGGTTGGAGCTGGAGATGCCACTCAGGATAGTGTTCTTGCCTGGTAGGCAAAGCTGTGGGTTGGATCTCTGGCGGCGGCATCATCATCATCATCGTACAAAGCTGTGGCTTATAATAATAATTAGGCAAAGCTGTAGGTTGGATCCCTAGCAGTATAACAACAGATTAAAATAAATGAAAAAGTCAGATATGTGTGAAGCATAAAAATTCAAAGCAATACTGTTCCAGTCTTATGGACATATACATATATAAAAATACAAATCCAACATGGTGATAAATATCAAACTTTGATTTCCTTTGGGAGGAAAAGGAAAGCATTTTTCTCTCAAGCAGATTAAAATTTTAAAATTTTCTTTACACTCAACAGTGAATACTTAACTGTTTATTCAGTAATACTTTATACTGCTTTGCATATTTAAGCTACTTTATAATATTTTTTTTAAAAAAAATAGAGGAAGGTGGGAGATACAGCTCAATTGAAGATTGTTTGCCTCTCATCAACTAAGGCCTTGAGTTCTACCTTCGGCAAAAGGAGATAGTAAGAAGTAACTTATCAGTCAAACCAAATTTACTTGTAGAAAGTATAGTAAAAATAGTTAATCATTGTGTGAGAAAAGTTTAAATAGAGTAGATAATGGGAAATTATTAGGTGAGAAACAGGAATTCTGCAAGTAAATATATACACATAACAAATGTAGCAGTTTGTAAAATAGTAAAATGAAACTTTCCTGGTGTGAAAAAAAAAAAAACAACCTTCAAATAAGGCACACTGAAGAAAACTTCAGGTAAAACCAAACTTTTGAATTTCAAGGACCACCAACAAAGAAAAATCAAGTTTCCAGGTAAAATTAAAAAGGCCTAACTAAAAAATTAACTTGAAAGGTATTTGCTTCTTCTGTGTAGCCCTATATCTGCTAAGGAATAGTGGGAAAATTTCTGTAAATTCTGAGATGAAAGTGCCATGAACCTAGAGTTCTATGTATAGGCAAAACCTTGTCAGATGTGAAGATAAGATCATATTTTTTCAAAAGGAAAAATATCAAGTCTAAATAATCAATGAAACATAAAGTTAAATCTAAACAACTGCTAAGAATGTGCTTTTTAAGGGTTATACAGTTTTAAAGAAAGTACTTCCAATAAAATAGTCGACATGGAAGAAAAATGACAATTGAGAAATAAAATTATAGGTGATTTAGTACCACTTGTGCTAAAACGAATGGGAGTAGGTTGGAGATTAAAGAAAACTACACTGTGTAGTGAGCAATGTAAAGAATTCCTGTGTACAGAGTTGCAGGAGAAGGTACTTGAAATATTTGTTGGAAATTTGAGACTTTTGGTTAAAGGAAGTAAATGATCTGTTCATCAAGACTCCCCTATCTGTGCAAGGGAACTAAAGGTGTTTGAGGGGGCAAGAAAGCAAAGCATGGTGGCCCCCAACTGAAATTGCTGCCCTTGCAGGGCTGAGGGAAGAAAATGGTTAGTTAGCTCAAGGCTTTCTGAGGGGGACTCTGTGTCTGTGAACAATGAATCAAACAAGGTAAAGTGGTGCTGTGTAACATGAACAGCACTGAGTAGTAAGAAAGCGTGACACTGGTGCCACATATTTTGAGAAAATTTCTTGATGATACAAAGCAGGCTGAATGAGAGGAACAGAGAAAACCACAATTGAAAGTGAAAAGTTTTTGAGGTTTGGTAGACCTCAAAGAACTCTTATCGATGGCTACTAGAGTCGAGGGCTTCTATCCCTAACATGTGCACATGCCCTCCCATACATGTTTATAGCCCTCAAGTGTTAAATACTCCATGCCCACAAATAAACTAAACCTGAGGTGGGGTGTTGAGTCTAATTTGAAGGTAGATGGTTGCCTGGCATATACTAGGCCCTGGACTAACGCCCTCAAAATAAAAAATAAAAAGGAAAATAAATAAAAAGAATGAGAAATAGAAATATTAAACCAAATGAACAAAAAGTTCCAACCACTGAAACAAAACTCCGTTTGTGTTTTTAATGGACTCAAAGAATTGGATGGACTGTAGAGTGCTCATGAGATTAACAGATTTTAAAACTGTGTGGAGCAGCTGGTCCTCTGCCTTCCTCCTTTGTACAGGATGTCAACAGGAGTGTGTCCAGAGCAGAGCTGTGGCTTCTGTTGTGCACTTGATGATTCTGGAGGGTTTTTGACATGTGTTGAGAGTGTTCACGGAGAGAACTGAGTTTGACCTTAAACCTGTAACACGTCATTGGAGAATGACAGTGCCATAGATCTATGAGAGAAATCTAGTTAGATAGTTCTGGAACATTATTAATAATTTTGGCTATCACGGGCCACTAGAAAACCAATAATAGAAAATACAAAATTAAGGGGAGAAACTTACAGAAAGCCAACAATACAAAATAGAATGTTAACAACAACAAAAGATTCCTAGGAAATTGGAACAATGCAAGAAATAAGTAGAACTTAGTGTTGTTTTCCCAACATGGTTAGGATAAAATAGTCAATCAGGGCTTTTTTGAAAGATGAAATATGCCGAGGCCCCAGAAACTAAAAATCTGAGTGTTAAAATTTTCAAAGGAAGGAGTGGAAATTATCAATGTAGAAATAAAGTTGAATTTAAAGATAAAAGTGAGATGGGGCATAGAAATCAGCTACTTCAGTCTTCTGAGGAGACCAGAACAGAATAGAAAATAAGTAATAATAAAGCAAAATTCCTAGTGGTCAAGGATTTATGTGAATACTAAAATGAGTGAGTGATATTGATAATGTATTCATAAGAAAAGAAGCCAGGACATATTGTGAAGAAGCAAGATGTGAGAACAGTGTGGCAATATGATACTTGTGGTCAGAAATTAGTGCAGGTTCATAAAAATCACAGGAAAGAGTAAAGAACATGAAATATTAATAAAGGCTTCCTTTTGAGAAAAAAACAATGGAGAAATAAGAGGAATATTTTTCCTTTTTCCTTAACACAATGCTGTTCTGTAAGGAATGCTATTATTTAACAATTGAAGTAAAAGTTACATTGGATTAAAAAGAAGGTTGACAGCATTGAGGTAGCAGTGGTGATCTGGACCACTTTAATACTTGCACATAATCACAGACCTGTAGCTTCTTTATTTAATACAGGTTTCAATGACTTTTAAGAAACTGTTTTTTTTAAACTCTCACATAAGTATTTTCACATATTTCTCTGCAACATTTTACGTTTGCATAGAGTATTACTGTGAGAATGACCAATAATTCCCTTTTGCATATGGATTTTATGCATGATATATATGTAGAGAATACCTTAAATATGGATTTTTTCCCTTGAGGCAAGATTCCATACTGTAGCACAGGTTAGCCTGGAGTTCACTAAGTAACTGGCCTTGAGCTTGTGGCGATCCTCCTGCCTCAGCCTCCTTGAGTGCTGCATTTACAGGTGTGAGCTACTGTTGCTTTACTCACAAATTATAATCTCTGGCATCTTTTGTGGAAATGAGTCAGGATATATATATTAAAATAATGAATTGTGGAGAAAAAAAAGTCCAAGAGAATGCCAGTCAAGATTCTGAGGCATATTCTTATGGTTTGTTTGGGGTTGAGTGTAGGAATTGCTCAGTATTAAAATAGTAGTAATGAGAATAATCACAGAGATATGAAGGTGGTACTCTGGACCGCCTGAAAGGCTCCACCCTTTTTATGAAGAGATGGATATAGTCCTTGGTCTCAATATACCACATCTACTATAAACTTCTGAACCCTCCACCATCATTCAGGATACATCCCTAATGGTTGGAGAGATGGAGAATGTCATGGGAGAGAGAACCTGCAGATCCTTGCCTGAGACAAGTTGTGGAAAGAAAGTTTTACAGGTATTATTCTTCTTGTATATTTTACTTGGTGACGGTGCTTTAACTGGATAGAGCAGTTATTTTTTTAATGGAAGGGGTGGGTACTATGGGGGAGGTTTGGGAGATAGATGGCAGTGATAGAATGGAGAAGCAGTCTTTTTCCAAGAGTGGTATAAATTTTATGAAAAATAGTACCTTTCTGTTTTTGTACTGCTTTTACTGTCATCACAATAAAGGAAGTTATATCAGAGTCTTGAATTACAAACTCGAATGGGTAATAAGATTCACCAGGGACATTAGGTACATAGCATGCAGACTTAATAGTAATAGCTGTCAGTAACTTACAAAAACCAATGGAGAATGTTTAGAACTGTGAATTATATTGGTTTTTAAAAATTTTGAACATGTACTTTAAAACTTAATTTGCAACAGGCTTTTTTTTTTATTATCTCTCCTTTGCTTGTGTTAATTGGCTGCTTAACCATTTGACACCTGATTTACTTCTCAGACATGACAATGTTTAACACAGCTATGCATTTTAATTAAGTGGCTAATTAACTGCAGCTCCTTAAGTCTTACTTTCTTGATTTTTCCCTAGAGTAGTGGAGATTTAAGTGCTCAGAGTTTAGAAATGGCTTTTATGATAGCTCTAGTCTCACTACAGCTTAAAATACTGCAAACTTTTTTTTGACTGTGTGCCAGGAAATTTTATAGAGATTTTTCTACAAATACTTTTCAAGATTTAGCATATGATCATTGGTAATTCTCTTACGATTAGAAGTGATAAGAAATACATGTGGTTATAGGGAAAGTTGCTTTTTAAACAGAGCAGTTGGAACTTACACCTGTAACAACCTGTATGCATGTCTTTATAAATTGGCCAAGGTAAAATAAAAGCACACACCAGTAAAATTTTATTCAGTTTTTGGCTTTTTTTCCCTAGTGAGAATAAGAAGTGTAGCTTTTAAATGAGAGAATTTTGTATAATTTTCTTATTTATTTATTTATTTTTCCTAGCTTGGGCAATAGAAAAAGTCCTTTATCTGATCTTGTCTTCCAGTCCATTTTGAATCAAGGAAGACTCATTGAAGACTCCACTGAGAAGAGTCTACTTTGAAGAAGGCAAACAGACCAAAAGGGTGATAGAAACGTGCAGTTCTGTTGTGTGGGGAACAGTGTGAACTTCCTGAAGGCAAACAAACAAAAAGGATGGGAGAAACATGCAGTTCTGTTGCATGTCTAACACTGACCTTCCTGGACTCAACATTGGGAACTGAGAAGGGAGTTTAGAAATGACGGAATTTTGTGAGCTTTAAAGAAAAAATGCTGGTCTTTAGTGTGGACAGACAGTTGGACTTCAGATCTAGGACTGTGTGTAGTCATCAGTCTTGAACATTCAGAAACACTTCTTTGTTCTTTATGGATGATGGTAGCTGGCTTTCATTTCAGCAGTGCTTCCAAGATGAATACACATAAATAGTGTCTGCCAAAACCTAAAACATACAGTCTGTATTTATTACTAGAGCGTTGTAATGTATCCCTCTTGTATTTAAAAATTTTATACTACTCAACCTTAATTGTGACTTTTTGTCAATAAATAACCTTTCAAAAGAAGTATGGTTCCTATTCATGTTGTAATCAACTCTCTAATTTGTACCATAGACAGCTTAATAGAATTGAAATTTTATTTTTTCTTGATATTGAGTATGCAGTTTATGGTACATGAACTTACTGTTTGTTTTTCTTCAGATTTTTCTGAGACTTTATATTGCATTTATATTTTTTACAATAGCAATTTTAATACTAAATGTATTGTGATGTTAGAGAAGATGATTTTAGCAGAATACCTTTTATTTCTTCTGTGACAATTCCATACATGTAAACAATGTATTGTGATCATATTCCTCCCCAGCTCTCCATTCTCATTCCCTCTAAGTACTCTCAGCTTGTCTTCCTTTCACAGTGATGTCCTCCTCCTGTAATTCACTGAATCCAAGTAATATTGACTGGTGTTACTTCCTTGCCCTTGTGCCAGTAACCATAGCTACAGCAAGTTCACAAGTGTAGCTGTTATGCCATGTCTAGAGATAGCATTTCACAATATTCCTCCCCATCTTTGTCTTTTACCTTCTTTCTTCCCTCTCTTCCATGATGTGTCCTGAGCCTTGAGTGGGGTATGTTGATATTGATGTCCCATTTAGGTCTGAGCACTCAACAGTAACTTACTCTCTGCACTTTGGTCAGTTATGAGTCTATGTACTGGCTGCTGACTTTTGCTGAGAGAAGATTCTTTGACCAAGATTGAACACAACACTAATGTATGGATATAATCATAAATACTTAAAAGTCAATTTAATGACATGTTCATTTAGTAAACCAACAGTAGGAGGTTTCCCCCTAGGATGTATGACCTCCTGAGCCATGGGCTTTTGACCAGGTTTATAGTACCAGGCATGGATTCCTCTTTCCTGTGGAGCAGACCTCAAAGTGGTTGGTTATTGGAATAATATTTATGATACTATTGTACCATTGGGCACATCTTGCCTGGAAGGGTTACTGTAGCATGCAGCTGGGTAACACTGTTGTTGGATTTTCCCAACCACCAACCTGTATAGCACCTTCTATCATTATGAGAGCTAGCTAGCAGAAAGTTTTCAGGTCAGTTCAAGTTTGATTTCTCAATCTTCTGTAAACAAAGTGTGCTATGTCTTCATAGGGTCTTAACCATCTAGCTCTGGTGGGAAAACAAGAGAGAAATGGCAGTAGCCTGTGTTGTTTGGGGGTCTTTCCTGATTAGTAACTTATAGGCAGGTATTCCACATCTAGCACTGAGAGTTTTATTTAGTAATCCATTTTCCATCCATGCATGTTAAGTATGTTAAAATTCCTTTTAAAAAGGAAATTATATGTGCATATATATATATATATATACACACATAAATATATATAGTTTGTTTGTTTTTTGAGACAGGGTTTCTCTGTGTAACAGTCCTGGCTGTCCTGGAACTTGCTTTATAGGCCATGCTGGCCTTGAACTCAAAAGAGCCACCTGCCTCTGCCTCCCAAGTGCTGGGATTAAAGGCATGCACCACCACCACCTGGCAAGAAATTATATTTTTAAATTAGCTTACAAAGTGGTGGGTTTCCTAAGTTTTTTAAATACACACGCTCGTACCCACACACCCTTCTTCCCTCCCTCCCCCTTCCTTCCTTCCCTTAGTTTTAGTAGCTCATTCCCAATCCCTCCTCTTCTGTCTTCTCATCCCAATCCCTGCTTAAACCTTTAGCCCCCAATATTGCTTCACTCTATTTTGGTAATGCGTGTTTTACTATCTCCTCACCTCTTTAAAGCCTCTTTTCCCCCAGAGAGTGATTTGTATTACTTGTATACTAAAATTTGACAAATTGATATCAGATTTTGGAAATTATTATAAAAGTATGGAAAGAATCTTATAAATTGATTTGAATGATACAATAAAATGTGGGGATACTGTTATACAATAAGATGTGAAAATATGCATGAAGAACTAAAACAGGAAAAACTGACAAAAATCAGATTAAATAAGTAGACGTTCATAAATTGTTAGCTTAAGAAAAAAAAATAGCAGTTTAAAAAGTACCCTAAACTGCTGGGCCGTGGTGGTGCACGCCTTTAATCCCAGCACTTGGGAGGCAGAGGCAGGGGGAATCTCTGAGTTCGAGGTCAGCCTGGGCTACAAAGTGAGTTCTAGGAAAGGTGCAAAACTACACAGAGAAACCCTGTCTCGAAAAACCAAAAAAAAAAAAAAGTACCCCAAATTATTTCATAGTTGAGATCTTAATGTATATTTTTAAAACATTACAGTTATTAGCTTGTTTCTAATTCAACCTGGTCAAACCTGAACTCATCATCTTTCCAAACCTGATCCCCTTTGAACTTTTCTGAAGAAATGTATCCAGTTGTTTGAAATCATCTACTACTTTCCAGTGACAGCTGTATCATTTCTTCTAAATTGTTAGGTTTGTTTCTTTTTAAATGTCTTTGAGTCTCTATTTCTATCCCTCTTACCCTAAACATTTATTGGGATTATAATGGTAGTTTCACTTATTTGCTAAAGCTCACCCATTCTGTAGGCTTCTCAGAGGAAGCTAAAAGAAAAAGCAGATCGAATTACAGCTTGCCTCACTTCCTCTCCCTTAAAATTCATCTTCCATAAAGGACTCATCCAACGGCCTTTTATAACAGGTAAAGATCTTTGAAAGATTCATAGCCTTGCCTTAATCTTACCGTGAATGACGTCTTCTGGCAAGTTTGGAAACTGACCCTGTCTTACAGTCATCCTGAGCACTTCATGTTCATGGTCTTTACTTGGCACACAGTGTATGTAGCTGCTGCTATAACCACCTCTCCAACTTCACCTCTTTCCATGGTCCTTTCTTATGTAGAATTATCCAAAACACTTTTTGTTTTTATTTTAATTTTATGTTTACTTTTTCTTACATTAAAAGCTTATTTGTGGCATATGCTGCCTTATTTTTTCTTTCTCTATGCTTAGCAAATATCAATTGGTATGAATTGATATTTGTGGAAATAATTCTTGCAGCTCTTAAGTAATGGGAAGATAAAACTTACATTGTGAAAAACTGTTTCTTGCTTTGGATTCTTGAATATTCTTTTAAAATTGGCCTTCATGAGAGCACAGTGCTTCATAGTTAGTAAATACTTAGTTAACAATGAGTTAGTTGATCAGTTTGAAATAAAAATTGAATGTAAATATGATGGTGTTTACAGTTTTTATATTTCGTTTCCATTGCTGGTGAGCACAAGGAAATTCTGCAACGCATATCTTCAATTCCTTTTTTTTTTTTTTTTATAACATTTGTTTGTGTAAACATGGGTAGGTCAGAAGACAATTTACAAGAGTCAGTTTTCTTCTGCTGTATGGGCTCCTGGGATGGAACTTGGGTCACTAAGTGTAGCAGCAACTGCATCTTTCTGGCTCAGTTGTTTCCTTTTAAAACTAATTTGACTGGAGTTTTTCTTCTTTGTTTTTCTTTTCCTCAGTAAACATCAATTTGGTTCTCTTTTCTGAGCCAACACAAAGGTGGTATTTCCTGTCTGTGAAATGAGTTGGTTTATAGAAGCTGTTGCAGCAGAAGAGATGTAGAAAAGAAAAGGTAGTCATTGGAAGAAAGCAAGAGATTTTCCTTCCTGTGTATAGAAGATACTGCTGTTGAAACACTGACGGAAATTGGAATTACCCACTTTACTGAATTGCCAATTAAATGTAATATTTAATTATTTTCTCCTTTTCTAGGCTGAATAATAGATGCCACTTAGATTTAATTAGTCTCTGGAACTTGATTGAAATGCTTGAAAAGTTATTAATTGGTAGTTTTAGATATTTTCATGTTATCTCTATGTGATACTAATTTCTAGTATGATTTATTCAAGATTCACTTAATCTTTCATTTCAAATAAGTACTGGCTGTAGCTCAGTGGTAGAATACTTTCTAGGTCCATGAGCCCTTGTGCCTATTCTTAGTGTTGCAAAAGAAATAACAACAACAAACCAAGCAAGTAGAATAATGTGCAAATTACATTTCATCAAAGGTGTTAAGATAAACAGAAACGGCTTCATAAATGCTAAAATGTTTTACTTTGATATTTAGTCATCTTATCCTGAAGTCAAGATAAAGAATTTAGTAAAATTGTATCAACTACAAACCTGCCTTTCAACAATAGACTGTGAAACTCTTAATGTTCGCCTTCCTTTTCATCATTTTGCATGTAGAGAGTTTATTTGACTCTCGTTGAGAGAATGAATTCATCCTTAAATAGTGTTCTTTCTAATTTTCATCCTCAGAGATTAGTTTCCAAATTGCTCCTTGGTGGTTGTACAGATCTTTCTCTGTCAAAATGGTTCACTTACAGTTCTAAAGACTTGAACCTCTCACTCCTGTCCCACCCCCACAAGTTCACACACCATTAGGCATTTCACTTAACCAAGACAGCAATCCTCCTACCTTGAAACTCATATTAAAAAGTCTTGTCAAATGATTTTTTTGTATGATGAATTTTCATATTCTAGAAATAGCTCAAGGTGAATATTCCATTTGATACTGCTTTCTAGTTGAATTATTAAGTGTTCTTCAAATAAAATTGCCAGTCATCACCAGCTTATTTCTTGAAATAGGATCTTTAAGTTTAGCTTTCACATGTTTATTTATGGTGACTTGTGTTAGTATTGTAAAGGCATAAAACTGTGTCTTTTTATTGCTTCCATGTAGAAATGGACCTGCCCATAAACAGCAAACTGCAGTTTATTCTATCAAGGCTGTTGTTGGTTTCCCCATCTCTGACCACTATGGCTGTGCATTTGGGGAAGCAGACACATCTTCACTTTCTGGAGCTTACAGGCTATATGTCACAACACCTTGGCCTGTCCCTGGCATACATGCTGTTTACCAAATGCCTCCCTATGAAATATTCAGCATGTTATTGACAGTGGGCTGATATTGGTTCCTGAAATGATATGTTCAAGTTCAAATTCCCAGAACCTGTGGTGACCTAACTTAGCATAAGGACTTTTGTCTGTTTCTAAGATTGATAGCCCAGAGACAAAGAGGGCATTTGGATTACCTGGTTGGCCTAAGTCAATGACTAGTGTCATGGTGAGAAACAAGGGAAGGGACAGGAACAGGACGAAACATGGGGTACCATGGCCACAAGCCAAGAGGCATTTGGAACCATCAGAAGGTGAGAGGTGGGAAGGATCCCACCCAGAGACCCTGATGGAAGTGAAGCCTGTCTGCATATTGGAAGAAGTAATTTGTTTCCTAGGTTTGTGACTCTTAAAAGTAGGTAGAGTTCATTGAATTCAGAAGATAGTCTTCTTCGAGTTTGTAGAGTCATAAGGGAAGTGCCAAACTGTTTGAAATGGCTAAGCTGTCATGGCTGTTGGGGACTTGTTAGGTAAACTCCTTTCAGCATTTACTGAGAGCTTGCTCCTTGGTCAACTGCTTGCTAATGTAAAAAGGGCTCTCTGATGGAGGATGTTTGTAGAGAGTGATTTCTGCCAGTGGTAAAAGCTTTCAAAGGATGATTCTTAGATATTACGAAGAAAACTTAGAGTAGATGTAGAAGGATGAAAAATTCCATGAGTAGTGAGTTAAAAGATTGGGTAGATGTGGACATCCTAACGCTGTGAAGGAAATTGCCTGGTAAGTGACATTGTTACAGTAAAAACGCATAGAAAACTGGAGGGTGGAAGATGCATCTGCAAAAAACACAGGGGTTGTTTAGTCATAAGAAGTCCTCTTGGCCTTGGGTAGCCCCTTATTTTGGAGTAAAGAGGGTCTCTTGAAGTGGTTAGTTTTGGCATTTGCAATTGAAAGGGAACATTATAGTAAGATTGGGGGAAGAACTGGAGGGACAAAATTTAAGACTTAAGCCCAAGAAGCCCCAGTTTCCTTAAGAGATCTAGAGGGTAAGATGAACATGGGCGGTAGAAGTGCTCTGATGCTCCGAGAGAGGTTGGTTCTGTAGAGAAAAGACATGAAGCACATTTCTCTTACCCTGAGGAATTCTCACTTGAAAATTTGGTATCTGTGTCTTATTAACATAACAGTATCACTGATTTTGAAAACTGGTGGCAGTTGCACTAGTACCAGAAAGAAAAGAATGAACCAGCATTTCTGTCAGATAGACTGGGCATTGCCTACTAACAGCAAGGAGGGTTATAAGTAACCGTACACTTTCAAGGAAAAGTGAAGAGTTAAGATTGACCCTGTTAGATTGAGATGTTTATAGAATTAAAAAAAATATATAGCCCACTAAATGAGCAGGTTTAAGAAGTTGTGTAGAGATTGAGATATGGAAAACCCTCTGTGAAGTGAGTTTTAATGTCACAAGACTAAAGATGGAATGCAAGGAGCAATAAGCTTTGACAAGGACTGCTGAAAGGGACTGTAGGGAACAGTTGACAACAGAAGAAATCAGTGCTTTGGGTCAATACATTGGTATTTGACCAATGAATATTTACCTTCCTTGGATGCCAATGAGAAGTTTTATGAAGTAGTCCTTCAAATGTGGCTCTGGTAAGTTTGTCAAGAGTTTCAAAGAAGCCAGAAAACTGAGTTGTGACAATTCAGGCAATGGTGCTCTCTGACCAGAAGTCATTCTTGCCATTTTCATTCATTAAAGGTGTTTCTCAATGCTCAGTGTTCCAACTGAACAATCTATTTATAGACACATGTTTGAGAATAGTCCTATATGGGATACAATAATTTTATTACTGTCAAATATATATGTAAATCATAAAAATATAAAGGTCTATGTGATCATTTCAAATGGCAAGGGTTCTGTGTACCAAAGCTAGTATGGAAAACAGTATTTTTATATTTATACACTTTCCTTTTTAATCTTATAGTTGTCTGTTTTGTGAAATTGAAGCAAATATCTATACATTTTAGTTAAAAAGTGGGCATTGATTTTCTTACTTAATCATGATATCGTGTTTTAAACGTGCTTCAAAGTTATTCAACCACAAGAACACATTTTGTTTTACTACCTAAAAAACGAGCATTAATAGTGGAGTGGGTTGTAGTTTTTGTGGTACCTCCTCAAGCAACTTTTTTTTATAATCTTTGCAATGCCGCCCTCTAGTGACGGCTTTCCAACATGCATCATTTGAGAAGTGGGCCCTATCTGGATTTCACTAGTTCTTTGCCTTAGCCTGTGTTTTCCCCTTCTCATTGGGTAGTTTTGTTCTTCATGCCATGGTTTTTTAAATTATTATTATTATTATTATTATTATTATTATTATTATTATTATTATTATTATTATTATTTTGGTTTTTTTTTTTTGACGGGATTTCTCTATGTAGTTTTGGTGCCTGTCCTGGAGCTTGCTCTGTAGACCAGGTTGGACTCGAACTCACAGAGATCTGCCTGCCTCTGCCTCCCGAGTGCTGGGATTAAAGGCATGTGCCACCACTGCCCAGCAGTTTTTATTATTGAATGACATAAGGAAGAGATCATGAGCTTTGGAGCAAAAACTAAAATTAATCGTGAATTGTCACACTTTCTTGTATTAACCTGTGCATTCCTTAATAATCATCAACTTTATTCAGTGTAAAAAATGACCCATTGAGTATAGAATTTTCTTATATTAGTCTGCTCTATAGATGAATAAAGTCCCTTTATTATTGTCAATTTATGTTTTAGAATTTTTCTGTTCAGATATTTAATTAGGTTGGAAATATGTATATATTTGTTTTTTTAGGCCCTGTAATTTGTTTTGAACTGTATTTTCATACTCTCTAATCAAATAAATTAGTTTTTTTCTAGGTTTTTCTAATAATTTAGTTTTCCAGTCTCTCTCCCTGCCCCCCGTGTGTGTATAAGTTTACTGTTTACTTCTTAGTGCAACTTTGACTAAATGCCATTATCTGTATCTATATATCTGTATTTATATCTGTATCTATACAGATAAAGTTTGTCATTATTTGGTTTTCAATAAAAAAGACCTGTAATTTCCTTGATCTAAAAGGTACTTAGGGGCCAGGATATGACTCAGTTGGTAAAGTGCTTGAAGTGCAAATGTAAAGACCTAAGTTTGAATCCTAAGCACCTATATAAAAGTTGGGCATGGGGACATGCATCTGTATCCTGAACAAGGCAGATCTCCAATGCTGCCTAGCCAGTCAGTGAGTTCTGGATTCTATGAGAGACTTTGTCTCAAGAAATAGGGTGGAGAGTTCGAGAAGAGCAACATTTGATGTTGACTTCTGGCCTCTGTGTGCACACACACATACAGTACTTATGCATACATCACAACAAAAACAAAAACTGTTTAAAATGATTTCAGGTATTTTGAAATTGTGAAATATGTGTGTTTAAAATATTATTAGAATAAAATGTGATTTTTTCCTAAGAATTTATTTTTCTTTTGATACATTTTAAGCAGTATTTAAAATGTTTCCCAGCCATTGAGGAACAAGGTGCACTTTCTGTGGGTTATAAGGTGTTGTGTGTGTATTACTTAGATATACTTCATTTATGACTGCTTCAACCATTGTGTACTTAGGAGAGTTAAAGTTATATGTTACTGTTGTTTGCTTATCATTTTCTCAGTTCCCAACATGTTTTAGTTATACACATTATTTGATTCTTAAAAAGTTCATTATTGATACCTTCATAGTGGGTTTTACTTTTTGCTAAATAACAGTATTCTTTTTCAATAAATTTTGCAGGTCATTTGGCTAGCCAAATCGGAGGAGAAGAAACTTGACCTTGTTTCCCACTGTGCACAATTATTGAAATTTTATATGTGAAAAGCAAAATAATGAAGCCTCTAGATACCTTCCTTGTCTTCAAGTAGGCTAGCATTTCTTCCTTTTTTTTTTTTAAAGCCTGGAGAATGAGTTAACTGTCTCTAGAGAGGAGAGTATTGGAGTTCCTTCCAGCACTTACTCCAAAGAAAGGAAGCATAGAAAGTGTTTCCTTTTAAAAAATTTTAAGTCTTTTTTGTTTCTAAAGTTTTATGATTTTTCTTTATATCCTAGGTCATGCATATATGTCTTGTTATTGCTTTTCAGGATTGTATAACCTTTTCTGTATTTTCACCATTTCATATACACATATAATTTATTGTGATTATATTCAGTTTCCCTTATTTTTTTCTGCCATCTCCTTCCTTTCCCTCTTTCCCTCTTCTTCTTACCTAGTCTCCCAGTGGCTACACCATTAGAGAAAATGACCTCCTCTTTCCCAGAATCCATTAACAGTTACTAGCTCCTCAGGAATGGATGGAATCTCATGGTCACCTCCTCTAGTCGTGATGGAAAGTTGGAGGACCTAGATAAGTGCAAGCATCCACAGCTGCTGTGTGTTCATGGTTGTAACGATAGTGTCACATCTGGATGGCAGCATTTCAGAACAGTCCTTGCCATCCTCTGGCTCATTATGTTTTCCTCCACTCTCTTGTGTGATGCTCCTTGGTCCTTAAGACAAAGAGTGGTGGTGATGTCCTATTTAAAGTTGATCACTTATCGGTCACATATTTACCAGATAGGTGTCTCTTCATTAACCACTACCTCTGCAGAAAGGAGCTTCTCTGCCCGTTCCTGAGAGCTGCACTAGTCTATGGACATAAACATAAATATGTAGAAGGCAGTTTGATATGTTCATTTAGGGAAACAATACTGTGTTTTGCTTGGATCTATTCCTTCCCCCTACCATGGGTTTTGGACAGGGTTTATAGTAACAGGCATGTACTATATCCCTTCAATCAGAATGTCTGTTTTAAAAAAATAACAGATTCTTGTGAGGTTGTGTGGAAAAAGGGAACTCACATTCAGTGTTGGTAGGAGTGTAGAATGGTACAGTCACTATAGAATTCAGTATAGTAGTTTGTCAAAAAGCTAACTATAGAATTTACATATGATCCAGCTACCACACTTGAGTATATACTTGAAGGACTTTATGACCTATGACAAATATACTAGTATATCCGTGTTCAACAGGTGTCTGTGTAGTAGCTAGGAAATGAAACCAGCCTAGGTGTCCACCATCTGAAGAATGATAATGAAAATGAAATACATATACATAATAGAATTCTAGTCAGCCTTAAGGAAATAAAACTATGAAATTTGCAGGAAAACAAATGCAACTGGAAAATACTGTACTATTTAAGTAAACCCGGCACAGAAAGATGCTGTTCTTCCTCATATGTAGATCCCAGCTTTGGATATCGAGTTCTGTATTTAAATTTGAGTCAGTATTTATCGGGGCTAGGAAGCAAGAAAGGGGAGATGAGCAACTAATGAAGAAGATATAGTAAAGCATAGAGGGTATGAAACTGTGTGTGTTGGGGGTAGATGGGAATACTAGGTGTTAAAAGGCTGACACAGGGTTGGATCAAAGGGTTGAGGTAAGTGGAGTTGGAAGAGGGTTAACAAAAAGTAAGGATTAGTGATAAAGCCATATGTAAACTGCTACTTTATAAACTAAAAAATATATCTTAAAAATTATGCAACAAAAACAGCTTGCTGCGGTAATTCTCCTTATGGTTAGATAATGCTGCTTCCAGAAGTCATTGATTATTCAACAAGAATCTTTGTGCCAGGTGTGGGATACCTCTGTATGAATTATTGGCCAGCGAGGACACAGAGGCCCCTAAAAGGATAGATGCTATTGCCATTACTCTTGGTGACCTACCAGAACTAGATAATCCAGTAAGACCCTATTCCTGAGGACACTATTGTTATCAATTATATAAAGAAGGCTCTGGCGGGTAGAGAACCCAGGTGCCCCGTGGCAGCTAAGAGACAAAGATGCCATGCAGACCGTGCTCAGTGAAGAGGTTTATTTAGTGGGGAGAAGTGAAAAGGGGGGAGAGGGGAAGAGAGAGGGAGCGGCCCGAGGGTCTGCACACCTCCTGGGAGGAAAGTGGAAGAGGGGAGGAGGGAGAGAGGAAGAGGCGGGGTTTTCCCTTAAGAAGAGGCTTCTATGTCAGGGCATAGGGTGGCGCCAAGGGGCGAGATCAGAATATTAACAGCTACACATTTTGACTACAGGACACTGAGAAATCAAGGTAGAACTAAACTGGAGGCTTCCTCTCTGCTGGCTAGCATTCAGTACCAGAAAGTCAGGCTGCTGGGAGAGAAAACTTACCAAGGATCTAGCTGTAGACCATGTGTGATATAATACCTACCTTCCAGGCAAGATATGCCCACCTGTGTAATAGAGTCATAACTATTCTGGGGATAACTAACTGATTTGTGATTGGATTTAAACCTCACATCATGGGAGGGAAGCACACATACGATGCTTTAAGTCTGGTTAAAAGTATTTCCTGCCAGGCGGTGGTGGCACTTGGGAGGCAGAGAGCCAGGCTGCTCTCTGTGTGTTCGAGGCCAGCCTGGTCTACAGAGTGAGATCCAAGACAGGCACCAAAACAACACAGAGAAACCCTGTCTCGGAAAAAAAAACAACAACAACAAAACAAAACAACCCCCCCCAAAAGTATTTCCTAAACAGCACAGAAAGCAAAACTAAACAATCTTCAATGGCATAAAGGAAGAGACTTATAACCTTTTGAACATTGACAAGAGCCTGTGTTATAGGTTTTAATAGAAGATATAAAACAAACCAAAGAATATTTGCAGTGCATATGTTTGACAAATAACTTTTGTCTGTATTAATCAATCTGATAGACAGAAAACCCAGCCCCCCCCCCCCAAAAAAAAAAAAGGGAAAGAGAATTGATCAGGTATTTAATAAAAGAGGATACTTAAATGGTATGATGGTTAGTTTTCATGGCCAGCTGGAGTGGATTTAGATTTCTATAGCTATGGCTGTGAGGTTTAATTGTTGAGGGAAGACTCACCCTTAATGAGAGTGGCAGCAGTCCATGGACTGGGGTCCCTGACTCAATAAAAAGGGACAGAACAGAGACTGAGCTTAACACCAGCATTCATCTCTCTGGGCTTAACCGTGAGTACATACAAGCTTCTGCTCTCATGACTTCCCTACCATAATGGGCTATACTCTGAAAGCAGGATGTAAAAGAAACCCTGCCTAAGTTGTTTCTTGTTAGGTCTTTGATTACAGCAATGAGAAAAGTAATATAAGTAGCTAATAAAAGTGCTAAAAATTTCTAGTCAACAGGTTAATTCTGTTTAAAACTGTAGTAAGATAACCTTACAACACTAACTAGAATGGTTAAAAATAAAAAGATGGAAAATATTACATGCTAGTAAAATACGAAGGACAATGAAACATCTGTGCTGCTGCTGGGAGCATAAATTGGGAAAATCATTTCTGAAAATTGTCCAGTAATATCTTCATGAATTTTATTGTTCTGTAGTGCATATGTCCAGCAATTTCAGTAGGAATTGAAAGATAACCAGTAAACAAGAAAGTCACTTTCATTGTTTTTATTAAGAGAAACATGGAGATAAAAATGTTCATTGGTAGTGAAATGGATAGATTGTGTGTTCAAGTCAGTACTGTACAGGAATGAGAACAGTAGTCCAACAAACTATAGCCGTATGTAGCAGCAAAGGAATTATGCAAACATTCTATTGATCAAAGTAAGCCAACACAGAAGGGAATGTTGTATATTATTTTATGCATATGAAACTCCAAAGCAGGAAAAGCTAGAATGAGACCTCAGGACAATGGTTTCTTTTATGGGAAAGGAAGTGGTATTGGAGTCAGTGATGCGTTTCTTAACACGATTGGTGGTTGCATAGGTATACTGACTTTGGGATATTTTAGTGAGTTGTTCATGGCCGCTTGACTCTTCTGTGTATATGGCTCAGTAAAACTCATAGAAAAAGATGTTTTTTCAGTGAGAAGACAATAAATATAACAATTGAAATTCAATACAATGTAGCCCTACTTTTATCTCCTACCAAAAGGTGCCACAGTGCCAAAAAATAAAGTTTCTCCGTCAGCCTCACAAACAGTCCCACCTCTTTGTCCTGCTTGAATTGCAGGCTATTTTACAAACAGCTCCTCCTGTCTCCACACTTAGTAAATGGAAACTGCACAAGTTGTGTGCTTTTCCCCCTTTTACTACTATTTAAAAATTTTCATTTGATGGTATATTATCAATGACGTCTTTAAAATATTTTACTGCTTTCTTCATTTTATTGCTTTTTTTAAAAAACTCATGTGCTAGGCTTTAAGGAGTCTGGCTCATTTTCATTCATTGTATAATTGTTTTTACACTTAAGTTTTTAATGTTTTGTTTCTAGTGTATGCAGAATGCATTCTTTTATATGTATATGTATCCTATTCTCACTTTATTTAGAATTTATTGTGTATGTATGTGCATGATATGTATGTGTGGGGGTGCACATGCCACAGTGCATGTGTGGTGATCAAAGGACAACTTTGTGGGTTCCCAGTCTGTAAATCAGGTTGCCAGGCTTCTGAGGCAAATACTTTTGCTTGCTGAGCTGTCTCACTGGTCCTATACACCACACACTTTAATTTTAATTTTACTGAAAATTACTTTTGAAAAGTTCCAAATACTTGACCTTGTTTTTGTCTTTATCAATATTAAGAATAAATTAAGTTCTGAAAAATGTATATATTTGAAGTAGGGAAGATGTAATTTCTCTGTTCTTCCTCTTGGCCTTTTTAATTGATGGTGTTTATGATTCAGGATAAACTTTAACTTACTGTTAAGTTTTGCATTTTACTTAATCTCAAGAGTTAATCATGTTTGAATTAAAAAACATGTGTTCCTGGGGGGAGGAGTTAGTTGTAGACTTATCCTCAGTTTTGTGGCCTTGTTTACATTCTTTAATTTACTTACTTGAAACTTTATTTACTGAATAAAAACAAAACAAAATAACCCCCCCCCCCCAAAACAGCCTCCCTGTCTGCAAGCTTTATGTTTTTGGGGCAGGTGCCCAATAAATATATAGTTTAATTTTCTGTTTTGAAGGCTAATCGGAGGAGAATAAATCAGACGAAGTGATAGAAAATGTCTGGCAGTAGGTGGGATTGAAGCTGTCTTAGAAACAGAAACATTCTCTGTCTTAAGTCAGAGAAACATCTTAAAGCAGTGCCATTTACTCTGAAAGTTGAAGAATAGGAAGCAATGTAGAATCGAGTGAAGAGTAGTTCAGGCCTAGGCCCTCTGGATAGGTGAGACAGTTGTTTAGCTTGAACTGTTTAGGGGCCCCCAGGCAGTGGGTTTGGGATCCACCCTGGTGCATGAGCTGGCTTTTTTGAGCCCAGTGCCTATGGTGGGACACCTTGTGCAGCCTTAGTGCAGGGGGGAGGGGCTTGGACCTGCCTCAACTGAATGTACCAGGCTCAGCTGACTCTCTATGGGAGACCTTGCCTTGGAGGAGGTGGGAATGGGGGTGGTGGGTTGAGGGGGGGAGGCTGGGGGTAGGAGGAGGTAGGAGAAGGGAATCTGTGGTTGGTGTGTAAAATGAATAGAAAATTTCTTAATAATAATAAAAAAGAGTAGTCCAGGCTTGAGGGTAGCCAATGTCCTGGTGAGGTAAGACATTTATCTTTCAGGGTGGGGGTGGATGTCTTCATGTGCATTTACACATCTGTATGTGCTCATGGGGAGGCTAGAGGTCTTCCTAAGTTACTACATCGTTTTGAGACATGGTCTCTCACTGAACTTCTAGCATACAGATTTGACATGGCTGGCTGGCCAATGAGCCCAGGGTTTCTCCTTTCTCTGTCTCCCAGTATCATGGTTACAGCAACTACCTGCCATGTTCAACATTTTATATAGATGCTGAGGGTCTGAACTTAGGTTCTTATGCTCAAGAATCCAACACTTTATCCACCAAGGCATCCTGGCCCCAAGAACTCCATCTTTAAAAAAAGGTATAATTAATCTTTCCTGAATTCTCCTTCCTTCTTTTCTTCCTTTTTATTTTGTTGTACTTGAGATTGAATATAAAGCCTCATTCATGCTAGGCAAGTACTCTGGGACTGAGGTATATTCCAAGACATTTATTTGATTTTTATTCTGCTATGGCAATTTCACTAAGTTGCTCTGGCCTTTGATTCCTTTTCATCCTGCCTAACCTCCTTAGTAGTTGGTATTTTTATAAATCTGCACCACTAGCTTGTCTACTTAATGCTTTTTTGTCAATATGTGAAATATTTTAAATGTAATCATGAACTAAACAGGTAATTTTTTGTTTACATACTACTTATATTTTACTTAGAACAGAGAAGCAGAAGGACAGATTCAGACTATGAAGAAATTAAATTGCTATAAAGAAAATAAAATGGATAATGTGATAGACCTAGGTGATAACATTGTAGGTAGAACAGCAACAGAATGTTTTCTGAAGTGCTGACAGTGAACAACTTGATAATAGGTGCTCATGAAAATCGTAAGAGAACCTAGGGCTAGGTTTCATTTGGATTGGAACAAAGAGGTAGAAGCCTGTGTAGGATTATGTAGAGTTTTATATGGTATAATAAGCGTAGACATTTTTATTTTTCCCAAGAACAGTGAAAAAATGTATTATGGCATGAGACTTATTTTCTTTAATAAAAATACAAGTTCAGGGCATCAAATAGAATGGAATATTGTTATGAAACAGCTCAATGTGGAGTTGGTACTTGACTCTTTTCCACAATGTTGTCTAAAGATTCTGATTCCTTCTTAGTCTTTAATCCACCTGATATGCTGTTACCTGTATCTATAGTTTCTACCTGTCTATGTTTATGACCATGGAAAGAGGAGAAAATGGCTAGCATTTTTCTTTGAATCAGAACAGTAAGGGGCAGATGTCTTTGTTGGAATGAAGACCATTTAATTCCTTTCCTTAGTTTGATGAATATAATGTTGAGGATTAAGTAAAAGGCTTTTTAAAAAAATGAATCAATATTCTTAAAAGAGAGCTGAGTGTCAGTGAAGTCAAGAAGCCAAGAAAACATTTAAAGGTTATACAGCGGATATAGATGGGATTTCTGATCTCAAAAGTCATATAAAATGCACAACAGAAGTATTTGAGATGGGTTAGAGGATGGAGAGGGTGTGCTTATACATATGCTCAAAAGAAGAATTAGTAATTTTGTTATTGCTTTTAGTACCTACTGCCAATCTGTTTATAGCATGGCATTCGTTCTCAGGTTATTGTGACATATTTATGGGTTGACTCTATTTGGTTACTTTTTTTTTTTTTGGAAGGAACGTTTTAGGATATGTTGCTGGTAGTATTTGTTGAGATTTGTGTGTCTTGGTAAGTTAATTTGGTATAATCTTTGTTTCATTGATTATAATATTTGAATTTATTGACAGATTTTAAAAATATTCAGTGTTTATGTCCTTACTTAGATATCTGATACCTTAGTACTATAAACATGAAAACAGCCATATGTAATCCTATGCACTGACTAAAATGCAGACAAATTATATATTTCTCATGGTTTTGTCACTTAAAGCTGTCACACTGCTCTCTTTATTATATCAGAGAGCACAAGTATCCTTATATACAAAAAGGTTGCTAACTATGCTGGGTTTC